CCGGTCCGGTACGGGGGCAACACTGAGGGTTGCGATCCGTTGCCGGACACGGAAAAAGACAAAAAAAACAAAAAAACAAAAAAAAAACAGATGAGAACGTCTAGTAATTAGTTTCCACAGTCTCTAATTCTGCTACTAATTGATCAACCAAGAACAAATTCCCTTTTCACTATGGCAAAACAAACTGCAAAATTGAAATTAATGAGGTGTCTGGTCCTTTGAGTCCTAAAAACAGCAGAAAGGAAAGCAAAAACACCTCCAGAGATTATTCCCTCTTCTTTGTACCAAAATGATTTGTCATAACTGATCTTTAGTAAAGGTTAAACAATTCAAGATGAAGGACATCATAAATTCTAAGAAGCTTTATCAGCTCATCTTCAAAAGTCAAAAGACTTGAATTTCTTAGGATTCTTTTCAGGATATAAAAGACCTCAGTTAAATTAAACATAAAAAACCCTTTGTGTCTGAAGATTTTAAAAGACAGAGACTTTTAGTTTTTTCCAAAGCCAGGCTAAGAATGCTCAGCAAAAAGGGCAACAAGGCCAACACACATACTGACTCTAGGAAATATGTGAAAATTTTAAGTATGAGCTAATGTTATTTTTCTCATTAAACATAAACTGTCAGTTATGTTCTACTAACAAGAATTCTTGGTACAGAAAATGTACTCATGTTCAAGTAATAAATCAAGTTCAGAAATCTTTAACTAGCAATACTTCAATCTATCCCCGTAGAGAACCTACAAAATTACTCAAATTTATAAATTATCAATATCAAAGTGCATCTTGTAATCTGACAAAGAATTCAAATATTTTTTTCTCTCCCCACTATTACATAGGAAGCATTATGACTTTTTAGCAAATGTGTTCCTTGTAGATAGCCACCCATTGGTAAGGCCCTGTTGGATTCCTATCACCCTCTCCTTTGCCGTGGGCACTAAATCAAGGAGGAATCATTTAGAAGAAATGGTGAGGGAGGAAGAAAGGCAAAACCTACAAGTCGACCAAAAAAAAAAAGAAAAATGTGAGGAAGAGATTGATATCCAAAGCTAATGACAGCTATGAAACAACACAGAATATACAGCAACACTAATGTGTTTATATGCCCACTCCAAAGAACTTATTCTAAATAAATAAAATGAGCAGGGAAAAAAATCAGTATGATCAATATTGTATACTGTTCAATATACTACAATATTTTTTATAATAGTCAGTTTTGGAAATAACAAAAATGAACAACAGAAATCTATGGAACATACACGTGATAGTATATTACATAGTTAACATAATCATAAACAATATAGATTAGTTTTACACACACACATATGTACACATATTTATACCCACACACATACCTGTGCATGCATGTACATAGCTGGTTTTCTTTACAATCAACCCTTCCCTTTTCTCTACTTTCCCCCTCACCACTCCTCACCCCTTTTCCTTAGGCAGCAAATGGTACCCTAATGTGATTTCTTTTCCTCTTCAAAGCTGCCCTTAATGTTCATTTTAATTAGATCTCATTTATAGAAAACAGTTTTCTTTCTTTCTTAAAAAAAAAATTGTATGGTCAAGCCATGTAGTGTGATCCCCTCTAATGCAGAAGCCCCTTTCCCTTATTTGGATGGACTCAGCAGCTGAGATCTGCAGGACTGCACTATTGTTATTCATATTTAACAAAGACATTAACAACAACGAAACCACTGCTCCCTGAACCTGACTTTATCATGCCCTGAATCATTAGAGCTGGGTCACTGTGTTATATAAATTACATGACTACTGATAGTATAGTATGATCAACAGGAATGAATTAATTTTGCATTGGTAATAGGTGCCAGCACTTTCTGGCCAGTAATCAAATGAGTGTTTAACAGCTATAACTTGAATAACACAAGGTAATGGTTTCAGAGACAAGAGGGCAGACTGTTTTACTGGTATACCAGGATGAGCCAGGGGATTCTACCAGTTTCAATGTAGCAGACAGTTCATTTACTTACTGCAAATGTCAAGAGGAGGAACTTGTTGAGGAGTACAGGGTTTTCAAGAGCAGCACCCGATTTTATGGATTCCCATATCTGCCAGAAGAAAAAGCGTCAAGGGAGGTTACCAGGTATCTCTGAGATTCTCACTCTCCAGCAAAGCATGGAGCTGCAAAGCTCCAGGCTCTTCTTTCCCACAGGCCTGGCACCACTTATCCCAGGCAATGAAGTGGGCTGTTCCCTCACTCTGCTCCCTTGACACTGCCACTCCCTTCAGGACCTGAGCAAAGTGAGAGAGGCCAAGCACCGCCTCTCAGCAGGTCTCAGCACAGAGGAGGCAGCCAGGCCACTTTCATGCCTTCATAATTTCCTTCAGCACATACTTACTTATCATCTACTATACACCAGGCACATCAGGGTTACAGAAACAAAAGACATAGTCCCTTCCCTCAAGAAGCTCATAGTCCAGAGAGACAGGCATAAAACTGTACAAGTTCAACACCATGTAGGATTTGCTATCACAGAAACGTAAAATTCCTGGGAGAAACACCAGACTCAGCTAGGGAGGTGGGAGGGAAAAGAGCCTGGAAGGGGCTCTCAAAGGAAGTGATTTGAAATATCTGTAGGGTATTTCTTAAAGCCTTATTTAGGATTATGTTGCCCAGAGAGATGAGGAAAGGAGAACGAACTTCAAGTTTGTGTGTACTCAGCAAGAACTGTGTCTGGAAGCAAAAGCTGGCACTGGTCAGCAGCTGCTAATCACAGATGTTGCAGCAGATAAGATCAGTTGCTAAACTTAGTGTCACTAAGCAAGACAAAATAGTTGCACCAATAAGAACCATTCCCCAGGTATGGGAGTAAAAGAGAAATAAGTTCTTCCTACTGACATCATCATCTTGGAGGAGCTGGACCGCTTTCTGATAAGCCAAGGGGGCCAGGAATCCTGTGGGGAGCAACCTGCTTTTTTCTGTGATAAATTAAAAAGAGTGTGGCCAAAGGAGGAGGCCCAGGAGCAGTTCAAGCCACAGATCAAGAAAAACAACCATCATCACCATCATCATGCAGTCACAAGCTGCATCCATCACAAGGGACTGGAGGAACCAAAGGTGGGAGACTTCCTTCTCTGACCGCTACACCCCCATTAGTAAGACTCTTATTTTTTAAGACTAGTATAAAGACCCCTCGATTAAGTAGGTTAGAGAGAATTGGGATAAACCACTCTACCTCCCTTTTTAATTCCTCTCACTAACTCAGTAGTGAAGAAGCACAGGATAGAGAGAGCATCACATCCCAAGGAGAGAGGAGAGAATAAAAGTAGGTGAAGGGAGTTATAAGTGCTTGCTGTGACTGGGTCACAGAATGCAAGGGCAAGAGTGACAGGACAGAAAGGCCAAGGAGACTAGCAGGGGCCAGGCCTCTTAAAAGTCAGACTAAGTAGGCCAGATGAAGTAGATTAAATTTAGCCCTGAAGACACTAGAGAGACTCCATAACCATCCACAGCACCACAGTGCACAAGACTGTCAAGCCTCTCCAGGGCACAAGGAACAGAGCACCCAGATGCCTTCAGCCGCAGGAACATAACGCTTAGAGAGAGGCCAGTTGCTTCAGAATGCTAGTTGGAGATTAGCAGCAAATCTGATTTTTCAACCTCTGTCCTGCCACGAATTTCCAGCCTATCCCCATGTCCGATTCTGGATGTCTTCTCCCTGACTTTCCCGCTTACACAGAAGGAAAAAGCCAGGAGTATTCTCCCTGGGGAAATAACCAAAAGCCTACAAACATCTCTGAATACCATTATATACTAGTTCCTGCGAAAGACCCACAGGCCTAATTAGAAACACTGCACCTGCTGGGACCACAGAAAATATGACAGATACATCATGTTTTCCCAGCTAACCTCGTTTGCTGCTTGTTCCAAAAGGAGCTTCTTATCTGCAGTCTTGAAAGACTCGAGTGTGTTGGTGTTATATAGTGTTCCGACAGCGGGGCAGCAATGTGCTGGGGTAGGAGCGTTCCTAGACATTAGAGAAACACAGTTAGCCAGGCACAGCTGGGACTCAGAGACAGCCAGGGACTGACAAACCACCACAGCAGTGGGAGACAAAGGGTATCACTCTGTAAGCCAAGTAGAGGAATGACTGTACATTTCTTTGGAAAAAGATAAATATCATCGCTAAAGGACTAAAAAACAGGCAACATTCCAAAAAAAGCCTATACATTCCCTTTACCCTACCCCCTTGGTATGCTGTTCTTCCACTGTCCCCACCCCTCCCCAAATAGAAGTTCATTTCCTATTTCTTATTCTTCTCCATCTTCAAACTAAAAGGGAAATATCTACCGAGCCAGGAACCATGCAAGGTCAGAATTATCATTACAACTCTTTACCCCATTTAAGGGTTTAAGCAACTTGCATAAGGTTATATAATAACAGGGAGAGCTCAAATCTAAAACAAAAACTAGTTGACTCCAGGGTACTGTACTGCCCACCCTGCTCAAACTTTCCCAGGCTTCAAGGCCCTGCTCGAATCCCTTCTCTTCCAGGAAGAAAAAATCTCTCATTTTCTCTAGTAATAGCTGGCAATAAAATTGAGCATAATATTTTAGAGTATTTTCAAGAAAAATGGTCATACACACCCAACTGGAGGGCAGTAAGCTCCTTGAGGGAGGGGAGTATGTCTTCTCCTGACTGTCCCACAACCAAGCCACAGGGCTCTGCATAGCCTGATGGCTGTCTGAGTCACAGACAAAATGTATTACACCTGGGCTACATGTCAACCTATTGTGCCACATGGTTTGCACACTGCGTTGCTCCAAAGGCCTCACAGTCCTAAAGTCAGGAAAAGAGAATATGAGTTGATTCTGAATACAAGTATAGATGTGGACAAATTTGGTCTCTTCTCTGAAACGATTAACCTGTGTTTCAGAGGTTACAGAAGCTACATGAAAATATTCATTAGTAGCCTAATGTTGTCACTTGCGACTAATGCAGAGAAAATGCATTTTTACTGACTGCACTGATGGTTGCTGCCTGGTTTAAAAGACCCAGTGTCTTTTCCCTCAGAGTCCGTGTAAAATTGGGCTCAGGGGGCTAGAAGAGAAGAGATCTAAACCTAGAACAGGTGTGGAGGGGTATAATGAGTGGGCTCTGTCAGATGCCATCTGTAGAGCTAAAACATCAAGTCCTCGGGGACTTGAGCCTTCTCTGGGGAGCTATGAGTCAGCAAATAACAGGTTGTTTGTCACCACACTCCTCTAATAAAAGAGCATTTTTCATCCAGGTGACATGAGGACATCAAAGACTGTCTTGAGGAGAAAGTCACAATGAGGCAAGATTAAGCCTAGAGGGAAGGAAGAGGAAGCAGAGCAGTTGGTAAACTAGGCCTTCTACATTCAGACTTGGCTTTATGACATTACTGCTCAAACAGGATGCTGAACCAGAAGGAAGGATGCTATGATTGAATTTGGACACAAGCACAGAGGAGGAAGGTGCCCTTCTTCCTAAATGTCCAAATGTCCTAGGTGTGTGAGGGCCATGCCAAAGCCTCACTCTGAGAGGGGAGGACACTACATCCCAGGAACTCAAGCAACTGCCAAGACAGCTAAGCTTCCAAGAACATCAGCACTCAAGCAGGTTAGTGAGGACAATCTGAACTTTCAAAGGAGCGACATTTCTCATGACTACAGTTCCAGCAGGGGAGGTGGCCACATAAGCAAATTTTTAAAAAAGTGATATTAGGAGGGAAAGAGCCCAAGACTTGGAGACAAGAGGATTTATTTAGGTCAAATCCTGGTCCTGACACTTATTAGTTTCCTATGATTCCATTTATATGAAATGTCCAGAATAGGCAAATTCTCAGAGATAGAAAGTAGATCCTTGGTTGCCTAGGGCTTGGGAGTGGGGAGGAGGTGGATGGAGAGTAATTGCTAAGGGTTTCTTTTTGGGGCAATGATAAGGTTCTGGAATTAGATAATGGTGATGGTTGTACAATTCTATGAATATACTAAAAACTACTTAATTACACATTTTCAAAGAGTGAATTTTATGAGACGGGAATATCTCAATAAAGCTGTTAAAAGGAATCTGAATTAGAAATCTTCCCCATATATACTAAAGCCAACAGTAAATTCTCAATGATGTATACAGAAGGGACCTCACAAATGCCTGAAGCCTGGGCCTGTCTGGGAATGCTGCATCTAAAAACTGGACCTTCACTTCACCCAGTCTCACAGTGATCACTCAGCAAAGTAACGGGGCTGTTCAGCACCAGCTATCACACGTGGTTAACAGGCAGACAGGTAGCCAGGGCCTCCAGAACAGTCAGGCAGTGGGGGTGGCCAGCAGGGAATAAATCCTCCAGAAGAAGAGCAGATGTTGCTTCTCAAACCTGCAGGAATCTTCACACGCAAAGAGGAACCTGGGAAGCCACACTCAGTCCTGCCACCTGTATTATCTCCAGCTTTCTGTAACAATCTCTGAGTTTCTGCTTATAATATCTTCTAACAGAGACCACTGGTGTGTTTCCATCAACCATACCATGTCTGATTTTGACAGCCATGCACACAGTCCACTTATAACTCAAATCAACAGTTATTTGAACAGCCAGTACACACCAGACCTGTGTTGGGTGCTGGCACAAGAACAAGACAGACACAGCCTCTGACCACAGATGACTGTGCCTATCAGTCTGACCTCCTTAGCTACTTTTCAGCTTCTTTGTGGTCAAGGATTAGGGCCTTCTATTTCTCTAATTAAGTCCAACTTGAGGCTTTGAAAAGAAAAATACTTCTTATGACTAAATACAAATATTTCTTAAGGCAAAGCAGGCCAGGGAAATGTTCCTCATTCAAATGTTTGTCATTCAAGGCCCAGGAAAAGAAAAATTCTTTTTTAGCAGTTTCACATTAGTACAGAGATTGTCCACCAAAATCTATTTTCCTCTTCTTCAACAGAAACAGAACACATACATGATGCTTGTAGCTGGGCATCACATTTCCCAGTCTTCCTTGCAAGACAGGTGAGGCCACAGGCTCTCCCCAAGAGAATCTGAGAGGAGTGATGCATGTCCCTTCCCGGCTTGGGCCTTTAAGAGACTGGGTGTGTCTCTTCCAACTATTTGCACCCTGGCTGTCTTCCCCCATCTATCTATTGTTACCTGAAAGGGACAACTCACTCTTAACTAGAACACAAAGGCAAAGCCCGTGGGTATGATAGAGCCAAAAGATGGAAGAATATTGTACTGCCAGCCCTGGACTATCACATGAGCAAGAAATAAACTACCTTTGTGTTTGGGCCCTGACATTTCTGGGTCTGCTTCAGCAGTACATCCTACCCTAGGACAGCATCCTCCAGTTTAAGGCAGTTGGTGCCTGATAAAATACTACTTGACTTACAATTCACCTAATACAATTTAAAGAAGGATCCTAACTGTTGGCAGAGATCCATAAGACTTCAAGGGACTCAGAGTAAAAGGTATTTATTTGGTGCTATGCAAAGCTCAGATACTCTTGGCATCTATAAATGACTACTAGCACAGTTTGCTCTTCAACTGTACCTTATTCCTCTCTGTGTGGCCAGTGCCTAGCACATTCTATCATCAAGACACAGAGGAAGCAATAAATAAGTATTCCTGAAATAATGATTACCTCTCTACATTTACTGCAGCACTGGGCACACTACAATGCAAACACTTGTCTTCCACATCTCTCTAATACTGTAGTGGTGCTCTGAAGGACATATTTCATAAGTCTTTGTATTCCTTACACCTACACATCCTGCGTAACATAGGCATTCACTGTTTGATGAGTAAATCCGTATTTTCCCCATGCAGATATATGGCAATAAAAACAAAGACGGAGTAATAATAATGAAAACAAAACAAAACAAAACAAAAAAACTGGATATAAAGAACACGTGCCTTCTGAGGAGCCCCAAGAACCTTCATTAAACTTCCCAACCATTCTAAGATAGAAAGATTTGGAAAATCACACTTTTAAAACTGGAAGAAACATTAGAAGCTGAGAGCCATTGTGGAAATGAGGAAACGGACACTGCAAAAACCAAAATACAGTTAATTAGCCATAGATCCAGGTCTTCAAACTTCAAATCCAAGGATATTTTCACAACACTAGGGACCATGTCTTATGCCAGGCTCACCCCTCACTGTCTAGCACAGTGCCTTACACACTGTGGGTATTCCATGGTACGAAGGAAAAATACGACCAGTTAAATCAAGCAATTTGTGTGAAAGTCATAGCTGCAAGATTACAGATTTTCTTATCTCTTTCAACCAAAATTTCTGGATTACTGAAGTTTAAAATGCTTGGATTTTGTAAGATGATCAAACGTAACTTCAGTGAACTATTTTTTTTCTAATTAATTGTTCCAAAGAATGAAATTATTAAATCTTAAGAAACAACCAAACAAAACCTCAGTCTAGTATAAGGATGAAAATAGGAGCAAAGCTAGTTTGAGATGAATATTAGACCCCCCGCCTTACATAAAAACCAGACTACGGACGTTCCCCCCTTTACCACTTTCAGACAATTTAATGCTTGTACATTTTCAGGACTTTCCTCATTATACTGTAATTGCTCCAAAAGTAAGTTAGTCTTTCCCAAAACAGAAGAGATTACTAGGTTGTAATTTGTTTTGACAAGTAATCACAAGGAATTTATGATAGAGCAAGAAAGCTCCTAAAGGAATAAGAAACACCAACACATACTTTTTCAAGATATAAAGACTAACATTGTTTTAGATTTATGTTATGCTTTTAAGTTTTGCAATTTGATTGAGAAAGGAATAAAATATACTGATTTTTTTCTGAGAGATTTAAAAGACAAATTCTAGGGACACTTTGTTTGAAATATGCTCATCTTTGACTATTCCACTTTTAAAAGCCAAGCAGTCTTTACAAAGACCTTTTCGCCTTCCCCAAACCCCTTATCCTGACACTGCTGAGGTACAAGAAAGCAGAAAAAGTGGACCTCACTGTAGATCATTAATTCTTCAACCCTCAATAATCTTAAAGCCTCTCAACATGCTTTTGGCTCCACCCTTTTGTGGAGAATTCAGTTTGAAAAACTGAATTCTCAAGGACCACAAATGACTTAGTCAACAAATCTAATGACATACTTGCACTGAACTCTGACCTCTGTGCTTCTGACATGTTGGCCTTCTCCATCCTCCCTGAAAGCATGTCCTTCCTTGGTTTCTGTAACATGTCTCTGGTTCTCCTCTGCTCCCAAATCAGGGCCATTTAAAGGGCACTTTTCTCTTCTGACACTATAATCTCTTTCTCTCAAAAGAAAGCCTAATAATCTCCTCTGCACAGATTCCTCCCAAATCTAGTCTTACCTTCTCCTTTTGACTCCAGTGTCTCCTGGACATTTCTAGTGGACACGGTCATCTCAAACTCAACATGTTCTAAACCAAACTTCCCTCCTCCTAAAATTGTATCCCCTCCTGGTTTCTCTATTTTTGTAAAAGATAAAAATATTTCCTTGGCTACTCAGACTGGATCTCAGAAATACAATTTTGAATACATTTTTACTTTTCTCTCACTCCTGCTTTCTAAATTTAGCTAAGTAAGACCTTGGGCAAGCCACTTTACCTTTTGACTCATTGTCTCCTCATCTGAAAAAGAGAGAAAAGTCACACCTGGCAGGTCTGAAAGGATCGTATTTATGAAAATGCCTAGCTAATTACATGTTCATTAAACGTCTCTCTTTTCTCCAGCATCTCCCCACAGCTCCCAAGAAGATAAAAAACATTCTTCAAGGATGTATATGGGGGCCGGCCCGGTGGCGCACTGCTACAGTGCGCTGCTTCGGAGCGTGGTGGCGCTCCCGCCGAGGGTTCGGATCCCACATACAGACCGGTTCCTGCTCACTGGCTGAGCGAGGTGTGGGTGCAACACTGAGGGTTGCGGTCCCGTTGCCGGTCCCAGTCCGGTACGGGCGCGACACTGAGGGTTGTGATCCGTTGCCGGACATGACAAAAGACAAAAAGGAAAAAAAAAAAAAAAAAGGATGTATCTGTCATATTCCCATAATGCCTTGCACAGTGGCCTGTATACAGAAGTATCCTAATAGATGTTCATTGATTGATGCCCATGGCCAAGCAGCTAAAGGAGTAAGTCAAGAGGTACCAGTATAGGATCAAAAAATATTAACTATCAATATCAGGAAAGATGTTACCTAAGGCTCAATCAATCTAGATGGTACTTGGTACCTAATAGGCTCTGACAAATATCTGCTAAAAAAATGAAACAGATAGTCCTAAGCATCCAGCATTTGTCTCTGTGGGAAATACAAGAGAATTTCCTACCAGCGAGGGAGGTTAGAATGTTCATTCCTCACCAAAAGCAAACAGTGTTCTTTTCTTTAGATTTTGAACAAATAAATACTCACATGTCAAAAGCACTGAACTCCAATGTAAAGCGAGCTGGCAGCCCAGCAGGATCACCTGGACAGAAGCATTATCACATTTTCAATTACAAGTAAGATATAGCAGCATTCACAACAAAAACGCTTGTGAATAGTTTTGCTCTCTTTGTTGAGCCCAAAGAGCCCCCTCTAATTCCTAATTATCTATGATACACAGATTACGTATATATATAGTTGTTCTTCCATATCCAAGGGGGATTCGTTCCAGGACTGACGCAGATACCAAAATCTGCAGATGCTCAAGTCCCTGACATAAAATGGCATAGTATTTGCTTGTAACCTATGCACATCCTCCTGTATACTTTAAATCATCTCCTGATTACTTATAATACCTAATACAATGTAAATGCTATGTAAATAAATAGTTGTTCTACTTCATTTTTTATTTGTATTACTTTTTATTGTTTTGGGGTTCTTAAAAGTATTTTTAGTCTGTGGTTGGTTGAATCCATGGATGTAGAACCCAAGGTTAGGGACGGCCAACTGTAGAGATGATGGCGGAACGTGACAGAGCTCTTGTGAATTCGAGGGATTTGACAAGAATATAAAAAAGATACGTTGGAAAAAAATATTGCCAATCTTCTCACCCAGCAATGCTAAGTAATTGGTATTATTTGGATTAATGATGTGGGTTTCATTAGTACCTTTCTCCTCCCCACAACAGAGGAAAAGAAATAAAAATGAATTTGGATCAAAAGTCGGGGGGTAAAAGAGAGACTAGCAAAGAGCACTAACTATAGAAGACAAGGGTGTCCCTTTCTAAAGGAAAGCTGACGCTGTCCTGGAGGACAGGGAGGATAGCAGAAGAGGATGGAGATGGAGTCTGCTATTGCCTACCATTGTAGTAGTAACCCTTAATGTCCTTGGGAGCTTCATCCAGCCGATACTCATTCAGCTTCTTCTGGGTCAACTCATGCCAGAACCCAACATCCAAGGCACTGCTAAAAGGGGCAAACTGCAACTTGGTGAGTCCAAGATCCCCTGTAGATGCCGCCATTATTTGTTGCTAACTAAAAAACAAAAGAGAGCACAGCAAAATGGCATATCTACACAAAACCTGGTGAGAAAGAATATCTGTAACAAATCTTAATTCAAACAAACAGACAAACAAATGAGAGGTATATGGGGTACCTTAAGACACAACTTTTTTTCTTTAATTGTGGTTAAAAAACACATAACACATAATTTACCATCATGACCATTTTAAAGTATATCATTCAGCAGTATTATGTACATTCTCAATGGTGGGAAACAGATCTAACCACAACTACCCATTCCCTCTCCCCTCCGCCCCTGGCAACCACCGTTTTTTCTGTCTCTATGAGTCTGACTACTTTAGATACCTTATATAAGTGAAATCATTGGAATCATACAGTATTTATGTTTTTGTGACTCACTTATTTCAATTAAGCAGAACTTTGAAAAACGTCCTGAGTAATTTGTCAGTGTTGTCAAGTTTAGTCTCCTCATGACACAAGTGATGTTTCTAAGTAACTCTTTCTGGCCTTAACTTTTGTGGATGTTCCTTTCCTATTAGAGTCAGTCTGACTGACACACAAGTGTCTTTTTTTTCTTCGATATAGTCACAATCTCAGAAGTTTTCACCATCCTGTGTGGTTCTAGAGAACTCTGTAAGTACAAAATCCTAAATCCAGCCAGTTAGAAATGTAACAACCCAAACTGTTAGAATTCTGTCTATGTGAGAGCAGTGCTTTCACATCCCCAGCCGAGGAGGAGAATGAAGGATAAGTTTCTCCCCACCTCCCATGGTGCCTGAAAGTCTTTGAAATCTTGTTTTATCTCCTAATGGCATGGAAGTTTTCCATTCTATGGCACTATATACATTTTAATATTTTATTTCTCCTCTCAAATCATGAAATAAGTTGGACCCTCCCGGCAATTATGCATGTATGTGCTATAACTTCCTATATTCTGCATATACTTTCAGGGGTACAAATACCCCAGTTTGAGAAGCATAATACTGGAGGAATCTGGCATTTCCAAAATAGCACAAGCTGAGGAGATGCCTTCACTTTCCATCCTATCCAATTACTCCATGACCAGACATATTAGTATTTCTGCAGAAGCATGTATGAATAGTCATGCTAAGTGGGATAAATTAAATAAGACAGTTCACATCCAATCAGAGAGGTTTTGCCTGAGTTTTGTGCCATGATTATTAAAAAGCTTTCAGTTTTCCAAACTTGCTGGATTTTAGAATTAGAGATAAGAAGCTTTGGATTGATAGTAACTATATGATAAAATGCAAAGTTAGTACTCTACATAAAAAGTGCTAACAATTAAGACGACAGCCATGAGTGTGGGGCAGAGCCATGAGAAAGGCTCTGTGAAGGAGATGGGTGCTGAGTGACACTGAAAGGATGGGTAAAGAGGGGCAGATGGAAGGAAGGCAGAAGGAACAATAGCCACGTTGTGGCAGAAATGGGCACGTGTGAGACTACCTGTCCTTAAGTGGAGGGTTTGCACTGTGCAAGAGCAGTGCACACAAAACTGAATGGGTTGCATGGATAAACACGTATGGAGACACAAATGCGTGGCTGGAGAATTTCAGAGTGGAAGGCCATGGCAGTTCTACACAGGGAATGTATTTTGTTGGTTTTTGTTTGTTTGTTTGGTGACTGGCTGGTGCAGGGAACCAAATCCTTCACCTTGGGGTCACAAGGATGTGCTCTAACCAACTGAGCTAACTGGCCAGTCTACATAGGGAATGTATGTCTACAGTGGCAAAAGGGCTTTGAAGGAGGAAATCAGTTAAGAGTCTAAGGATTTATAAAGACCTGGGTGAGAACAGAGGAAATAAGACTAGAAAGGGGGAGACCCTCATTTGGGATGTTTTAAGAGAAAAGGGGTAACCAAACTTGATACCTTGGTGTATTCAAGGAATGAAAGAAAGGGGCAAGCCCTTGGGGTGTCGAGATGTGACTGGCTAGAAGAATGGTAGCTCCATTGAAAGACACTTGAGGAAGAGTTCTGGTCAAGATGGCAGAATAGATGGTCCCCAGAGTCACTCTCTCTCACAAATCAACCAATTTACAATTATAAAAATGTAACAACAGCCAAGCTAGGGCCACTGGAACTCAGGGGAAGAGGAAGAGAGACCTATGGAGTTCATGAAGGGGGAGAAGCCACAATGAGAGAAAGAAAAAAAATGCTTGGAGTGTTTCAGGCTGCAGCTGCTTTAAGGCTGGAGCTGCTGAGCACATGGAGCAGGAGCTGGGAGAAGCCACAGCTGTACCCTTCAGATGGAGTTGCTTGGAGGCAGCAGGGGAGATTAGGGCCTTGATGGCCCCCAGGACAGTAAGACTACTAATCGGGTTCCCATGGCAGGAGCAAGGAGCCAGAACAGCTGAAAAAGGGGAGCCATTCAGAGGCCGGTGAGTCACTGCAAGGGATCGGCACAGGGCCTGTCCCATGGGAAGTGCTTGGAGACCAGGTGGTGAGGGAGACGGGCCCATCGGGAGAACACTGGGACACAGCAAGGACAGCCGATCCGCCCCCCAATCAGCGCAGGACAACTCAGAGGAGACTGGTCAGGAATGCCAAATTGCACAGGGTGCAGTTTGATGAAAAAACTCAGGCCCAGATCAGAGTTTCTACACAACCCAGGTGCACTGGGTCTCTGGAGCACTGCCAGTACCTACAAGGTCAACCATTAAACCCTGAGCTGCACAAAAAGTCTTCCCTAGGGAAACAATCAGCAAAGCAGCAATTTAGCTCAACCACACAGCTCAAGTACTGATTCTCACAGGAAGTTCCTCTGTTTTAGAAGTAAGCAAAGGACAAATAATTAGTTCCAGCCCATGTATACCACCAGAGCCTCAGTGCCCCACCCGGGGGCCGGGGGCTGGGGGCCAGGGGCATTGAGTCGGGGACTGGACCCCACTCCCACATCCAGGCACACCACCAGTGCCTTGGGGGCCCACCCAGGGGCCTGGGGCATGGACCCAGGGACTGGACCCTCCTGCTCACAACCAGGCACACTGCCAGTGCCTCAGGGCCCCACCCGGGGGCCTGGGGCTTGGAGCCTGGGACTAGGGCCCCCAGCCCACAAGCAGGCACACTGCCAGTGCCAAAGAGCATGCCAAAAACATCACCTCCATGTGGGTGGCCCACCACAGCCACCATAGTAACCACGGCTGCCATGAAAGTGACTAGACGTCACAACCACTGTGCAGATGGTCCACCAGCCACTGAAGTGCATTGACAAAAGGAGAATCACCAGCAGAGACCAAAGAAAAGAAGAGGATGTCTCTCTCCACAAAGCCTATTACAGAGTGACAGAAGCAGCAGCTGCTTTATGATAATACTGGGGGATGTGAACACACCTTTCAGCATTGGACAGATCATCTAGGCAACAAATCAACACAGTAACCATTACTGTTTCAGAAGGAGAGAAGAAATCTAGGGTTATCAGTGGTAGGAAGGGGAAGTGAGAGAGGGATAGGGAGAGATTGGACAAGGGGCATAAAGAATAAGTACAATTTATAACAATATATATACTGGTAATATTGATTTGAACAACATATGTCAACATTGAACCCCCAAAATACGTATAATCAATTATGATTCAATAAAATAAAATTAAAAAGAAAAAAACACTTCGAAGGCAGAGCCAGTCTCAGAAGAATAATAAACGAGAGACATTTTCAGCTGTGGACAATGGCAGGGAAGTGAAGGAAATTGAGTCTAGACCAAGAAGGTGGACGCAGAGATGGAAGAGGCATTGATGTGGAGGTGACAACTGAAGCAGGTGAGAATGGTTAGCTCTTACAAGTCACTCAAGAGAAAGAAAAGCCACAGCCCGACAAAGTCCTAGAGAATGTCCACAGACAGGGAGTAAGAAGAAATAGAACCAGTAAAACAAACAAAGCAATAGTTGGTACACCAGGATGGTATATCTATCTACCTACCACCTGTAAAAAGTTTTTTTTAATCTATAAAAAACTTTGAGCAGAGTAATGATGAAAGGGTACTAGAAGTCAAAGAAAATGGTCAATGCCACTGAATTTTAATGTTTAAAAGGAGCTCAGTGGTAGCTTTCTAAAATGCAATTTGATGGTAGATTGCTAAAAAGAGAATAGTCTGTGAAGGCAGGATCACCACAGGGGAGTAACTGACTGTGTTCCCAGCAAGTTCCAGGGGGGCAGGTTAGTTTGTTACTAGATTCCTAATGGGTGGTTGTTTTTCACCAGGCTGAATATGTTCTCCACATTTAAAAATATGCTTTGGCAACAGAAATCCAACTGTGAATGAATGAAAATTTCAGAATGGGGGCTTAGCAAACTGAGAAAAAAAAAATGGAAAACAAGAGGTGGGAATTATAATAATTTAAAATTTTTCTATGTAATCAATAAGCTTCATTGATCACAAAGGACAGCACATAACTGTCTCTAAAATTCTCAGCTACCTCAGCATGGTCTGCAGCATCATGCACAACACAATGCCTGACCAAGGGTTTTCAAGCTTTCACCACCTTGAGGACTGTTAAAAAATGAGGATACAGGGAGCCAGGCTGTGGCTCACTTGGGAGAGTGTGGTGTTGATAACACCAAAGCCACAGGTTCGGATCCCTATATAGGGATGGCCAGTTAGTTCACTTGGGAGAGTGTGGTGCTGACAACACCAAGTCACGGGTTAAGATCCCCTTCTTAACTGTCTTAAAAAAAAAAAAAAAAAATGAAGATACATGGGCCCACCCACTCTGTCAAGAGGAGAAGGGATGGTGAGGGTGGCCAGGAGCGTGTGAGTCTGACTAGTGCCCAGGTGATGCTGATGTAGTTTGCTGCTATCTTGATGCCACAGGTCACTGGCACTCTCACTTTTGAAGGCCCCACCTCTAAATCAATTCAAATATACTTAAAGTTACCCTCATTCCATATTAAATAGTTTTGGGCTCTTAATTGTTTAAGAGGATTTTTGCAATTTTGCACTCTCAGAATTTTTCTCTTCTTTTTCCAGGTCACTCCTATTTTCACAGGTTCCTGAAAAG